GGGAGCAAGGTGCTTTTCTCAGAAGCCCCGAGGCCTTGCATGTCTGGCTGCTGGCGGCTGCTGGGGGCTGCTGGGGCTAGCTTCCCTGAGGCCTCTGGTTTGCAGCACTGGGTGACTCAGAATTCTATTCCACACGTGGTCAGCCTGAGGCAGCTGGTGCTCCGTGAGGGCAGGATGTGATCTGTAATTCTGACCCTCCCCCTCTGAAGGAAGAGGGCCCATGTGAGATGGATGTAGGCTGAGAGCCACCATCTTCTGCATGGGTTCCCATGTTTCAGGTAAGGAGGCTGGGAAGATTCCCCCACCCCGTGACTGCGACAGCATGCTGGCTGGGTCTTAGCTGCCACCACCAGTGCCTCCAAAGCCTGAAGTTAGGGATGACTGCTGTTAGTTACCTTTATAGAGGTGGCAAGGATGTCCCCATTAAAGGACAGGGCAGAGTTTTGGGCCCCAGAAGACTGGCTGTGATGCTTGTCCTGAATTACGAGTCCCTTCCCTCTTCATGTGGCTGAGTAGGATGGGCCGCTGGGAAGTGAGGCTGCCAGCTGGAGAGACCTGGAGGCCTGTGAAGATGCCAGGGGCAGAGGAAGGGGAAGATGGGCAAGGGTGGAGTGACTGCGGCCCCTGCTCTTTGGATAAACCTTGGCACAGGCTAGCCCTGTGGTCTTGGGTGGACACCTGCTCTTTGGATAAACCTTGGCACAGGCTAGCCCTGTGGTCTTGGGTGGACACCTGCTCTTTGGATAAACCTTGGCACAGGCTAGCCCTGTGGTCTTGGGTGGGCAGTTCCTTAAGCTTGGTGCCTTTCAGAGAGCATGCCTCAGGACATTATGGACGAATTACTTGGGCACAACAGGCCCCTTGAGACTGTAGCAGTCAGTCAGGCTGTGTAACAAGATCCCACAGACATCCATCTTCTCACGGTTCTGGAGGCTGAATGCTCAAGATCAGGAATCCGGTGTGGACCGCTCCGTGATGAGCCGTCAGGTTCACAGACAAACCTTTCTGCTGTGTCTGTAAGAGACACACACAGATGCCCCTGGGGCTCTTGGGAACGCACTGTTCCCTCATGGCAGCCTCATTTTGTATTCTGTGAGGCTTCGCATGGAACCTAGGGTTTTGTATGTGCTAGGGAAGCTCTCGATCCCTCAGCTTCATCCCTGACCGTGAGGCCCCATCCTCAAATGCCATCACACACGGGCCGACAGCTCACAGTACGAACTTGGGATCAGAGAGAGTTCGGCCCACAGCAAGTAGTTGGGAGGAGGGTCATACTCGGTGGACAAACCAAAGACACACGTGCATTCCATGACGGCCACTCCAGGTGACCACTGAGTCACAAGTACCTCAGCCGGGCCAGTAGCTCTCATTACAGGAGACTTACAACGGGGTCTAGGCCTCGCATGGATCCTGTGGGACTTCGTTGCAGACAGGTAGTGAGTCTGGAATGTAGGGGGACATGTGCCTGGGGTAAAGGGAAGACTTTAAACACCCAGAGCACAAGGGCAGATGTATCGGCAGGGAGTGCAGCGCAGCCCAGCTGTCTGGCACAGGAGGTGGGCTCACCCTGGCGCTGGAAGGCTATGGACACATGTAGGTTCCTGTGTTGGGGACTCTGTAAGTGGTGGCACTTGTGGCAGGACCTAGAAGGGGAATTTATGGGAGGGTTAGAAACTACTCAGTTACTTGGCATACGATGGCAAGGCCTCTTGAAGCCTGGTGAGGAGTTGGGGATCTCATCCACAGTGAGGGGGCCACCATGTGACCTGTGACGTGAGGACAGGGGCTGTGGGGGAACTCGGTCTCGCTGCCTCTGCTCCCACCTGCTACTCCAGCGGGAGGGGCTGAGCTGCCTTCCTCTGGCCTCAGTTCTACCTTGCAGGCACAGGCAATCTCAGAAGTTGCAAAAGTGGCCGCCTTTGACTAAGCCTTTCAAGCCTAATGAGATTCATGGTTTCCCAAACAATTAGCTACTTCTTCATCTCATTTGTGGTCACGGCTGCTGTGTGGGTTTGGACGGCTGTTTCCTGAACTCCACTCACAGAATCTTGCATCAGCCTTGATGTTAGGGTTTGCTTCACAGCCTGTCCTCTTTAAGAGTCTGGGGTGGGCCACAGCTGCCAGCCTGTGGAAGGGAGAGGAAGCCGGCAGGATGCTCGATACTCTGTTCAGCCGCCGTTCTACTGTGTTTGACAGGAGAGGCGTGGCTCAGGAGCCATTCTGTTGAGCGGCGGGACAGAACCTGATGGAGGAGGGGACTCAGCCCAGGTCTTGGCTTGATGGAGGTCACACTTCCTGGCGTTTCTTCCAGGGCTTCAAGTCCATATGCAGAGATCTGGAGGTGGGGTGTGCTGGGAGCAGGCTTTTTACTGACCCACCGGAACGTTAGTGCCATCATGCCCTTGACCTGCCTCTGTTTCCCTTGCCTCCCCCCCCCCCACAGAGCACTTTCTAACAGGCGCTGGGACTCCTACCCATGTGTGCCTGTGGCCCCAGGAGTCAGGAAGCTGGGGTGAGAGCAGATCCTGAACTCTGGTGACTCCTCCTGTGTTCATGGCAATCAGCGTAGCTTAAGCAAATCGGTTCTTGACTAACCACAGTGCTCATGGCAGAAGTGCAGGGTCCTGTCTAGGCTTCCAGCTGTCACCTTGTAGGAGACCCCAAGGAGGGCAGTGAGTCTAGGACCACTGGCTTTGGGGCATGTGTGGAGGGTGCCTCATCAGCACAGGGCTCTTGTATAATGCCTCTTGATGTCTGTCTCCATATTCCCAGGAATGGAACATTCAGGGAGACAGAATGGTAGTCCTAGTTGTCAAAGGAGACCATGGGTAGCATTGCCAAGCACATGATACGTGCCACAGAGGTGAATTCATATGAGAGACCATGTGAGAATTTGGCTGCCATTGTGCTTTGCTTCCAGAGGAAGTCATCATCCTTACTCAGGGCTTCCTAAAGGTCTTTCAGATTTGGGAAGGCCTCAGTGGAAGTCAGGACTGGCTCCTGACTGACAGGCTCCCCAGTTCAAGAGAGAGGCATGGCGTAAAAGGGTTTCCAGCCTCTGGAAGGCGGGGCTGGTTCAAACCCCGAAGGGGCTCCTTAGGAACCAGAGCTGGAACACAATACCAGAGAAAGGCTGGTGGGGACTGTAAGGCTTGGGCCATGTCATGGCAGGGATAAGCCCTCATGTCTCACCCTCAGTGACTTGGCCTGGAAACAGAGGGATGGGTGAGCAGTTGGCATCAAGCACCCAAGTTGAGCTGTAGGCCTCAGATTGAGAGGCCCTGCCTCTGGCTTCACGCCTCTGGCTTCCACCAAGAGCAGCCGAGAAACCTCGTCACTAACAGGAAGAGGTGTGGCACCTCAGCTCACACACTGGGGACACTGCCTTCTTCCCCTCTTTGGTACCAGCTTCTTGAGTCCATGGAGGCAGGGAAGGCAGGACCTTCCATTACGGCACTCAGTGGTTCGGTGCTCTGGCCTCGAACCCATGTGTGTAACACTGCTGTCCCCTCAGGGATGCTTAGCTTGGTGTTAAGAGGTCACACTGAAACCCTTAGCCATGTGGCATTTCTGAGCTGTTTTTTTTTTTTCTAGGAGCAACAAGTGGGGGAGAGGGAGTCACCCTGCTGACAGGCAGGGATCTAAGCCAGAGGCTGGTGCCAGGGAAGGGCAGTTAGACCCGGAAGCATGAGTGTGGAGAGGGGACACCAGCCGTGAGGAGGTGTCAGCGAATGCTGGGGGAAGCCATCCGTATCTCCCACAGTGGGAACAAGGCTGGTGCTGTAACTCAGGTGCTAGCATGCTTGCTTGGCAAGCCACAGGTTGGCACCACATATACCAGACATGTTGCTACATGCCTGTAATCTCCTTGTAGGCAGATCAGAAGTTCAAGGTCATCCTTAGCTATATGACACCGTTTCAAAAGAAAGAGAGTAAATGGAAACAGACACAGTTTATTGGGAATGAGGGGAATCGGGGATTTTGGAGAAGTGCCTGCTTTTGGGACCATGGAAACTAATTTGAGCCATGTAAACTTTGAGCATTACAGTAGACATCCTGACTGTGCAGTTCAGGGGTGCTGGCCTGAGGTAAAAACCCCTAACGTGGCCATTGTTGGGGGTGTTATGTTTTAACACCAGAAGGAATGACCCAATAACACCTGCTCTGAATTTTGGAGGAGCTGTCCGAGTGCAGACACGGGAAAGGCAGGGCCCCCACATCTTCCAGTAACTGTGAGAACAGATAGGCACCACGGACCTTATAGCCCCAGGTCAGCCCTGTCCATGCTGAAAAGAACGCCTCACCCTGGGATGAGGCCCCAGGCAATCCCGACTCTCCTTGAGATCGGATTCAAGTTTTGGCCACCCCACCCCAAAAGAAGCCTCAGAGACCAGCAGTTTGTATGTTTTTTGAGACAGTTTCTCGCATCAAAGGAAGCTCAGGCCTAGTGTAGCCTCCAGAGGAGACAAGATGAGGGCGCTGAAAGCTTGAGTGGCAAGAAGCTCGCTCCACGTGGAAGAGAAAAGACAAAGATGGCTTTAAAAACAATGGCGGGTCTCGTTCTCTTCACTTCGGGTGTTTTCATTGCTCTGAGGGGCGAGAGGCTTTGACGGGCATTAACTTTGGGGGAATATTAAGCATGTGACCTCTGAGGGGTTATGTCACAATAGATGGGTCCCTCCTGGGATTCCTTTTCTTTAGGATCTAGGGGAAGCCAATTTTATCTCTGTGACGGCCACACAGACTGGTGAGAGGCCTTTGGGGTTGCTTAGAGACATACCCAGCCCTCATCTTGCTGGTGGATTTTTGCCTCAGTGGTACTGACCCCAGTTCTTGGGTTCGTTCAGGCCAGGAAGTTAATACAGAGTCGGCCTGAAACTCTAGTCCAAGGGTGAAGTTCTGTTTCGGGTTGTGTAGCCAGAAACAAATTCGAAGTATGATTGAGTTCAAAGGTAACATTTCCTTTTCTTCTCAAAAATGGTTTTGCACGTCTTTTTCAGAGCTGATAGACACACACCTTAGCTGGATACAAAACATATTATGAGACCGAGTGACTGGTCTTTGATCCGAGAAATCAAAGTGAAAGGTAACGCATTCTTCTACTTCTCCCTGGGGTCACCAGCTGTGCTTGCTCAAGTTCACGGTTAAGTCAAAGAATGGGCCAACCCCAAGGCCCTCTGCTCGTTGGCCAACCGTACTTGTGGATCCTGCTCTCGAGGGCTGCACAGCCCCAAGATTCTCAGTCTGTAAGGTGGGGGTGCAAGGGTTTGCATGCTGTCCTGGGGGACCCTCACCCTACAGGAGCCCTAGGAAGCTGATCAGGAGACCCCATGACCAGGAGTGTGTGTGTGGCTTTCTGTAGTACACAAGGGCCCTCCCTCACTTGGCATCCCCCTCTGCATCCGACTTAGCAGCTGGCTTTGACCTCTGGGGCTGCATTGAAGGGTTGCATGGTCAGTGACCAAATCAGACTCATTGACAATATAGTCCCCATAGGTTAAGGAGGAAGTGATGACTTTCCCGTGCCCCTGCCATGTGATCAGTCTGACTTTGCAGCTGGCTCCACTGAACTCTCTAGGATAGTGGTTAAGTTGGCATTGTTGGGGTGCTGGCCCATGGCCGACTTACCACTTCTTTTTGTCAGTGAAAGCAGCCGCCTTACCTCCCAAGCAAGGTCCAGATTGGCAGAGTCACATGAAAAATCCCAGTAAAACACAGCAAGGAAAAGCCATGCATACAGTGTGTACAGATGAGCTGGCAGCTTAGAGCCCCTGTCTCTCCCAAAACAAGATAAAGGCATCTCACTATTACAGTGCACCCTTCCTGGGAAGGCCAGGTGCTCATCCCATCCAACAACAGGCAAAACTTTGCTGTGGTCAAGGGCATTCGCTGTTCCAGCCACCCATGGCTGAGCCTCTGCCATGGCCCAGGAATTGGGCTGATAAGATGTTTTATGTGGAGAGCCAAGTCCCTTACAGGTCCCCAAGGGTGCATGGTGCTTCCTCGACTTGGGAACTTGGCAGATGTCCCAGGCATCAGCCTCCCTCTGACCCATTGTGGGATTTTGTCCATTCCACTGAGCCTGTACAGATGACCTGGCTATGTTCTAGAAAGTTCTCTAGTGGTCTTAGGTGTCCAAAGCTCAGGAATGGGACCAGGAAAATATGCAAGGACATTTCTTCACAAAGTAAGCCCCATAATTACATTCTCAGGTGACATCGGGAGTTGTGACAGAAAGGCCCAGTCCTTAAGGTCCGGAGCTGGCCTTTGGCTCTAGAGGACACTCCCCCAGGAGCTTCTCCTATCAGCAGATGTGATGTCCACCTGACCCGGTCACAGCAGAGGAGCCAGGGTGGGCACTCCAGGCCTGTCCTGGCTACAGGAGGGGCTCCCTGACTACAGTTTGGCCAGACGGTAGAAAACACAGTTGAGGTTTGGAAGAGAAGTCGTGAGGCCTATCAACTCCTCCCAGCAGTTTCCATTCTGGAGTCAGCAGCTAAGGTGGGGGGTGGGCTGTAGCACAACCCCAGAGAGCCCCTTGTCTAACAAATCCAGACCAATTCTTAAGTAATACTAGTTGAGGCTCTGGCTTCCCCAGATTGACGGAGTCCAAAGTAAGCAAAGAAAACACCCTACTCTTTTACCTCTCTGCCATTGGCAAACTATGGTAGTAAGGCTTGATCTTCCCACCATTGTGTTCTGTCAATAAAGTTTTATTGAGACACATTGATGTTGATTTGCCTATAGCTGCCTCAATAGTTGAGGCCCCAGCACCCACAAATCTGAAAATAGTATCTAGTTTTTTATCAAAAGGGCCTGTTGGTCCCTGCATGGCCCTTTCACTATGGTCTGTAGCCATTTTTAATGATTCATATTCTTAGAGCTATAGTACCTCTTACATATGAATAATTGTTGCTGATAATGAAAGATGCTATAATTTTGATGCATTTAAAATCTTCCTTCTGTTTCCTGGCGGCAGCCTTGGGGGTCACACTGAAGTTAGAGACACTTTCATTCTCAGCCCTGTCCCTAATGGGGTTAGCAGCGCCCGTCCTAGGCTTAGAATGCTGGTGCTTCTGGCAGGAAACCCGCCACTGTAACCCAGAAAATATCTGCCCCCCCCCCCCCGCACAAAACAGTAAGGATTCTGGGTCTCCAGAAACAAAAAGGGGTGAATACTGAACCTCATAGAACCATTTCTTGGCCAGCATGTAGGCTGCAGACTAATTGATATAGTAGGGCTGGATTCAAGTCTAAATCTGACCCCTCCAGTCTCTACAGCATCTGTCAACAGTGTAACCATGTGACTAGGGTTGAGGCGGGAATAGTCCCACCACCCTCAGAAACCCTGCATGGCTCGTTCTTTTACAGGTAGGATTTCTAGGCCGGTAACAGTCACCCCAAACACTGGCTGTGCATACGGCCCTACACACGGCACACTCTGTGAGGCACGGATTCCACACTGACTGCTGGGGCGTGTGAGAACAGGAATAGGTACTGTTGGAACAAGGGCAGACAGGAAGTTAGATCTGGAAGTGGATGGGGCCGTGTGCAGACTCGTGGACCAAGGTGGGAAGAGAAGCTGACAGATATTCAGAGGGATTATGGGGTGATTCAAAGGGGGTGGGGGTCAGGCTCAGACCTCTGAGTCACCCTTGGGAGCCATACCCAGCTCTGACATGGAACCTGCAATGTCTAGCTCTTTCAAGATCTGTGTCCCCATGCCATTACGGGGTACTTCCTGTGTCTGGGGCACAGGATACAGCCAGCATGTGAGCATACACGGTGAGTTGCCAGGAAGGGAGGGTACAGGAGAGCCAGCACAGCCAGCTGTAAGGAGCCTATGTGCCAGCTGTGGCTCACGGACAGAAGACACAAACCGTAGAAGAGGCAGGGATGGCATGGGCCTGGTGAGGGACACGGGGGACCAGAGGTTTGCTGGTGGCATGAATTGGAAGGTGGGAGCCGGGGCAGTGCATGCTCAGAGTGGTGTGAAGCGAGCTCACACAGGGACAGGTCACAGGGTCCTCAAGGGGGCTCTGGAAAGCACGTAGGGGATTGGCCCAGAGCAGGAGTTAGTTTTGGGTATAGGAGAATCTAATCATGATTAGAAAAGAAAGGTGGGTAGAGAGAGAGGAAGGAGGTAGTGAGGGGGCCTGAGTTGGACTCTCCTTCCTATTGGGAAGATAAAGGGCAGATAGTCACAATGGGCATTATGGACTCCAGAGGGTAGCAGGCTGTCCCTGACCCTAGTGGCCTGCAAGGGGACACCTGGATGGAGAGGTTGAGCAGGGCCCCTCAGAACTTGAAGCCCAAGTTTTAGCCTGACATAGAACAATGCTGTTGCCATCATCTGGTTGGTATATGGTTTCAGAAAAAAAAAAAGTCACCACCACAGAGGTTGCTGGGTGTGGTTCAACCTGGTAACAGCCTCACCCTCCAGCCTGCAATGTCCAAAGCGGGGAATCACTGACCGAACATTCTAGATGTGGTTGGAAATCAACTTTCAGCGAGTAGGAAACACTCGCCTCAAAAGGGCCACACTGCCTCTCTGACTGCCAAGAGGTCGGTCATCCAGCCTCCCAGGCCTGCGCTCCTGACAGAGGGAGATGACCCTGTGTAGGGCCTGTGGTGCCCAATGCAATATCTATCAGCTATTTTTAGCAAACCTGGGTTGTGGGAAGTTTCCACGAAGGGTCTACCCCTCTTACTCCAGAGGCCCAGCAAGCAAGGAAGGCAGCTAGAATCCCGACTTTGCGAAGCTTCCTGGAAGCTGCCGATCCCTGCCTTCTGCATTTAGTGCCCGTCCCATCCCCAGAGGGCGGGCAGCTCACCGGGCCCTGGCACTGCTGCATCGCCAGAGCCGAGGTTGGCAAACCTTCCTTTACTTTCCCACTTTTAGGCCCCAGCGAGCGAGCTGGACCCCACAACACCGGTCTACAGCACATGCACATGCGGTCCCAGTCAGCCAGCCATAGGAGTCCAGCCCCTGAGGCCTCTATTCACCATCTCAGAAGCGTTTGTTATCATGGGCTCCAGGACTCATCCTTGAGCTTACCCTGCATCTAGTGCTCTGTTCTGCAAGCCCACACATGCTCTGCCCTGGGTGCTGTGGCCACTGACTTGGTGATGTAAGTCATGCTCACAGCACTAGGAAACAGTAATATTTTTGGACCCAGTTACAGGTTGAGAAACTGAGGCACAGAATGGTTCTATCAGTAAAGCCAGACTCACAATCCAGTCATATCTGAAGTGGTATTCTGACCCTCCGACTCCAGCATGTATCTGAGGACACTGAGCTGAGCCCAGCCTTCTTATGCAAAGCACTGTGGGTGCTGACAGCTGTTGACCGCCACACACCAGGCTCGGTGCTGTCATCCACCCCATGGCTGACAGTGCCTGGCTGTGATCACAGCACTCGGGAGACAGGCAGGAGGATTGCCTGTGATTCAGGGCCAGCCTGGTCTACATCATGAGTGCCTAGACTACATGTCATGACGCCATCTCAAAGACACTCTTTTTAAAAAGCGAAAACAGACAGTGAGGTGGCCAGATCTGTGGGTAAAGCTCAATGACCTGAATTATCTTTGAGAGCCGTGTGGCGAGAGGACAGACTTCAGGTTTTCCTCTAACCTCCGCTTACATTCCAAGACGCATCTCATTACCTCACCCCAACACACCTGCTAATCATAGAGGAAGCAGACGGATCCTAAAGGGAATGCAGGTCTGTGATTCCCACTCTAGAGACCAGGAGCCTGAGGCACAGACCAGTCCAGTCACATGGCCGGGTTGGATCAGAGACACACCTGGATTAGGCCATTCTTTAAAACTGTACCTTTCCCCTTGCCTGTTGACATGGGGTCAGAGACTCACCCAGGCAGGGGCTTCCCAGGACAAAACACCTCAGACTGGAACGAGGGAGCTTCCCTGCCCTCCCTGGCTTTCCACCCGGGTTCAACTGACAAAATGTTGCCTGAGATGCACGCTGTCTGGGGGTCAGGCCCTGCAGCCTCCTGTGTGTGCTGGTGATGAGAGCGGCCCCTCTCCGGGGGTGCTAAGGGAAGCCTGTGGCCAGATCCCTGTTAGGATCTCCCACCTCATTCCAGCAACATACCCAGATGAGCTTCCCAGCTGCCGCAGGCCAGATAGCTTCTCCATGGCAGGGGCTGGTGTCATACCCACAGTTCCTGCTAGAACCACATACTTACAGTGACGGTGACTGGCTCCCAAGCCCGTCTAGACTCCCCCCCCCCCACACTCCTGGAACCTCGAAACACAACCCTTGAGCAGTGGTAGACCCTGGTGGTGCCAATTTAAAAACAGAAATTGTGGCCAGACAGTGGTGGTACACACCTTTAATCCCAGCACTAGGGAGGCAGTGGATCTCTGTGAGTTCAAAGCCAGCCTGGTCTACAGAGAGAGTTCCTATTTTGAGGACAGTCAAGGCTACATAAAGAAATCCTGTCTCAAAAAAACCAAAAAAGAAAAAGAAATTATTTAAGCTGGCAGTCAGTTAGCTCTGACTGTGAACCTACTGCCCACTGCGCCCAGCACCCTTGCTGTCTTTTTAAGGGGCCCTGAGTTTGGGGCTTTAAGGGTTTTGTGTTTTGATCAGATGTGATAGGATCACACGCTAGGTACTCTGAGGACACGGTAGTCTCAGAGGCAGTTTGGTAGACACACGGTTGCTTAAGTGCACTAGTGAGGGGATAGAAAGGGGACAGCAGGGCATCACCATGTGATCGGTCAGCTGGAGGAACTTGGGTAGGGGCAGTGACATAGGTGGGCATTTACGTTAAAATGGTTAAACGACCACAAGGAAAAACAGAAAGCGGCCTGATTTCTCACGTGTCTTTCTCATTCTGTCTCCTTTTCTAGTTAATGAAATCATCAGGAAGGAGTTTTCAGGACCTCCCCCCCAAAACCAGACCTAGAAACAGCCATTATCGCAACACGCCTTCCACCTTGGGCCCCTTCTTACCTCCCCCTGCCTTCTCTGACTGGAACACTGTGCGAGCGTGCAGTGCAGGAGCCTGCCGCCTCTCAAAGGTCAAAAGGTCATCTCAGCTGAGGGCCGCGGTGACTGGATGAAAAAGCAATGGCCTGCTGACCAAAGCCCCATTCTCAACTCATCAGGAAGCTGAGCTTGCCCGAGCCCCAGAGGCTGGGCTGGGGGAGAGAACTGGGGAGCTTCCATCGAGTCCCAGCCCACAGACACGGCTCCTAACTCTCTCGAAGACTGTTTAGACAGAGCAACCAAAAGTACGTGGCCCGACTTGTGGCCTCAAAAACTCCAGGTCCCTGTAGGAGCCCAAACTGGACCACCGTCTCTGCCCCAGCTGGCCCACCATCTCTGCCCGAGCTGGGCGGTAGCAGAGCTTTATTTTGAATTTTCTTTCCACAGCCAAACTGCCTTGTCCTGGCAGGCCCCACCTGTTCTGACTTCTCAGCCTTAAGTTATAACACGTGTACTTGTTTGCCTGCTTCTGGGGCTTTGTTTCATTTTTCTCTGCTTCAAAGAGCCAACCAAGGGGTCTGCAGGCTGGGCCCCCTCAGCCACTTACTCCCTGACCCTGCTGCCGGCACCAGACCTCTGGTGGGACCCAGCCCGGGCTGCCTGTTGAGAACAACGCTTCCGAAGGCTCCTCTCCACCCTCCTCCCAGACAGAGCCTGCTCCGCCCAGGAGCTGGGAGAACCTTCTGGGACTTCGCATTGACTGTTACAGAGCTGAAGCCACCTACCCAAATCAAATGCCCGCAGGTGTGTGTCATGACTGCCACCACACAGAACAAAGGAGCTGAAATCAACCCCTACCCTAAACACCAAGCGGGAAAGCGCTGGAATAAGCCCATGGCTGTTTCTTACCTGGCTGCATGTAAAAGTCCCTGTAGAACCCAAGGCACTGCGCGTGTAACTCAGGCAGATCGGCCCCAGCATGTGCCTTAGCGTGACCTAGCCCTGCGTGGCCGACCTGTGTGTCCTGTGGGACTCCACACTGGCTTTCATTGCGGTCCTCCAGTCTTCCTCCCCGGTGCAACTATTTCTCTGTTGTTCGTCTTGTGTTTTTCCTCCCCACATGAGCAAGATTGCTTTCTCCGCTCGCCTTCGCCACAGACGCCCCTGTACACGTTGGGCGGGCACGTCAAGTGACTTTCTCAGCGGCTCCGTCTGCTAGGCAGAGGGCCCAAATAGCTAACCACAGTGGCTAAATACTCACCATGGGCTCCTTACATTCTGACTTTGTCAAGGCCATCCCAAAGTACATCTTGCGAGCTGGGCCAGCTGTGGCTAGCTCTTTAAACAGAGACCTCATGCCCAAGGTTCAGCTTGAGCATGACAAGAGTGACTTTTTGGCTAATATCTAGTATTTCCTGCCCCTAGCGGCAACACCTGGCTTCCCTCCACCCTCCCCAAGCTAGACCTGAGCAGAATCTCCTTTGAACCCAGAATGTCCACAAGCAGTTGAACACTGAGTCCCTGCTTCTGAGTGCTTCCTTCTAATCAAAGCGAGCTTCCCTGCCGGCCCTTTACTGGCGCAATACCGACTTCTCTGGGGAAGGGTGACAAGGGTTTAGTGAGGGATCAGTTCTCACTTGCTCTGGCTGGCAGCCACTTTTTGCACATGAGGAATCGGGCCCTTCCTTGGATTATCTCGATGTTTTACCCAAGTGCCTTCCTGCAATTGTAGTGAGTAGTTCAGCTGCATTGTCTACAGGGTGAAAAAGGGCTAACTCATTTCCCATTAATCTTCTAACCATGTCAGCAAGAGGGTTTCCCGTAGTTCAGATCCTGTATCTTTGTGTGTGCATCTTTGTGTGTGTACACACACACACACACCGGCATATGCAATGCCCTTCTCTTTAGACTATCTTAGCTGGATAGTCTAAGAAACCTTCTCATAAACAAGTAGACCAGGAAGCCAAGGAGAGAAAGTAGCATTTGTTCCCAGCCAGGCCAGAGAAAGTATGTGAGCAGCAGACAGTCTGCTATCAAGGAGATTTGGTCAGGCACAGAGAAACTTCGCTGGGAGTGGTTGCTTATAAACTGTTTCCAGAGTGGGAAGATGCCGATCTAAGTCAGTGAGAAGAAGATGCCGAGTAGTGAAGGTGGGCGTGTCCCACCTGGGTCAGGAGGGCCGAGGCAGAAACTTGTCCTCATTAAATCCATGGTGACGTTAGTGCGTCACTCTGACAGTTCCGTCTTGCTGAATGTGGTACTTAACTCTCCAAACTCCGAACATCTTCCTGATTGTACAAAGATACAGCTGCTGAAGAGTAGATATCCACCTAGATCCCTATGGTATTAAATTTTATTTTCTTACCTGGATTTTGATGCTTTTTAATCTGCCCTCAAAATATCCCTGTTGGAGTTAGAACATATTTATAAATGGTCAGATGTCTTTTTAAGGGTTTTGTTTTTTTCCACATATGTCTTGATTTTCTGTAAGAGAAATGGTGTATTCTTGAAAGTTTTCATTCCAGAATAACAAATCCAAAGATTCACCTTGGACCGCTGTGAGGACCCTGGGGCAAGAGGGAGGAGGGCTGGGAGGAGAGAGCATCTTTTTCTTGCTTGAGAAAGATACCTACTCCTTCAGCCTCCAGCCTGGCTGTCTCTGAGAATTGTGCACAAAGTGTTTAGTTGGTAGTTTCCTGATTTAAAGCCACAGAACCCTGTCTTTTCATGGACTGACAAGACCCTACAGGCAGGCTGATGTTGACAAAACCAACCACGTGGAGTCCTCACAGGTGTCCCCATGTACAGCCTCCGAAGGACAGCCACCTTTTATCCGACACATCATAGCCGTGGACAAAGTGAGCTGGTTCCTCCCAAGACCTGGGATAGCTTGTTCCCATCTGGTAGTCTTGTCATCTGCCGCCGGTGGCACCCTCACACAGAGAGGTCAGAAGCGGCATGTTTTGATTGTCACTCAGAACCAAAGAGACGCTGAGTCGGTTTGCTTTTGCACCACAGTGCTCAGCATTGACAGACTGGGGGGGGGGACTACTTAACAACTGTGTTCATTAGGCACTCCAGAAAAGACGCAGGGGTGGCCAGGCTAGGATAAGCATTCCTGAACTCTTTGCTGGAAGGGCAACCTTGAGGAGCTTGAGACATCCTCACTGCTGAGGTCTCCCAACCTTGGCTCTCAAACTTCATGAGAGTTTCCTGCAGTTCAGCCAGCTGCTAACAATGAAGCAACATCACCTTCACCTATGACCAACTTACCCGTGCCTTGACACACAGCCTTGTCTTAACCCAGTTTGTTTACAGCTAACTCTAGTGATGGACAAGAGTCGTGTTTCCCTGAGCAGGCCCCTCTGAGATCACAGAGCGGCGTTGGGAGTCAAAGGATTAATGCTGTCTCTGTGCAGCTCCCCGGGGCAGATGGGAATCAATTTCCCTGCCCTTTCAGGGTTTACATGGGCTGGGTGCAGTTGGTGCTGTTGCTGTGTGACCAGGAGCCCCAGCATTCTGGTTGGCCAGAGCATACTGTTGGAGTATCCCAGTCATCGTATCAGAGAACTGCTGCCCCCCCCCCACCTCTCAGCCCTCACAGGGAGTCCCACAATCCTCCAGCTCCTAGAGGTTGCCCCAGTGATGACTGAAGACCAGGGTTCAGGAAGAACCCCGACGGCCTTGAGGAGTCGGCAAATATCACATTCCTATGCAAAACGATTTTAATCTCCAATTTCATGTAGTTTATTTTTGCTATGTGTAAAGTATTTTTATACGGCTTGTATGATGACAGCTTAGCAATAAAACAGTTGAGAGCAACTTTTCCCTGAGTCTGTCTGCTTCTCTCGGAGGCGGGGTTGTAGCGGCCTTAGGAGTGGGGTTCAGATAACAAGGAAGGGTTTTTGTTTGTGCACAAAGTCTATCAGCTCAGGAGGAAACCTGCTTCCTACCTGCCCAAGGTGACAGAGCCAAAAGGTCAACTCGGATCTGCCCCATCCTCTCTATCCAAGGCTTTGTCAAAATCGGCCTCCTGGTCCCTTCTTTGGGGGCTCAGAGGCAGCCACAGATTTATGAGTCAGCCTGAGGCCAACTTCCAGGAAGTTCCAGAGTGCCTGAAGTCGTTTGGAAACAGTGGGGTGAGCGTTGGGGGTTTTGTGTTTGAGCATCTAACAAATTACCAGAGAAGAGAGGGGAGACCTTTTACCAACCCTGAAAACATGAATTCCAGAAAGTCTAGGACTTTCTATCTGCTTTTCTCCTCAGAGTTAAAGTGCCCAAGTGAGGTAGAAGAAATTGCTATTTCTTTACTCTTAATTTTAAAGTCTTCTACCCTTGAGAGCTTTGCTCTAAGGTCTGGGCTGGTGCCTCAGAGTGTCTTCACTCTACTCAACCGTGATCTGCCCTTGGAATGTTCTAGACTCCATCCCTACTCCTCCCAATGCCTGCAACCAGCAGGACCATGTGGACAGGTGTTCCAAGCCCTGACAGGAACTCCATGGGTCCTCGTGGCTGCAAACACCTACCCTAAAAGGCCTCAGGCCCCTCTTGAATCAGAAGCCCCGAAGAGTCCCACAACCTAGAGGGTCCAGATTCCAGAAGTTTCCCGGTGAGCACATGGCTCGAGGTAGCTGGCGTGGATTCCACTTTTGTGGGACCTTAAGAGGCAGGACCTACAGAATGCCACTTAAATGCACTCTGGGCGATGACTCGCGTGGCCTGAATGGGTAGGAAACCCCCCACCTCTGCAGCACACAATAAGTACCTGCCCAACACCACACACAAGCCGGCTCTGCTCTTTATCACCCTTGCTGTAATTGTGGGCAACTGGTTTCCTTTCCTCCCTTCTGAAGCCCTTCCATGCATTTCCTGAAGGCCAGCGGCAGCAGCCAAAACGAGGGCAAGACTATACACCCATCCGAAGTAGACCTGCCTTCTACATTTCTGAATGAAAAGGGACAGCATAGCCAGAGGCGGGGACATCTGGGAAAGTCCAGAGTGAGCCTGACCCTGAGCAGGGCCTTGTGAGGAGGTGGGGCCGGGAGAGCCAGAACAAGAGGCCAGGACTGCAAAGGGCAGACCAAAAAGGGCCAGATACCAAAATGGCTGGGTTACATAGGAGAGGGCAGCTCAGCCCCTGGGCAGGACAGATTTTGAGTAGGGTGCAGGGTATGCCCTGTAACAGGTGGGGGCTGAGGGATACGGGGAGAACCTGGTGGCCAAATCTTCCGGTTTGATGTGTTAAACAGGTATCTCAGTAGCCATTTGTCCTGGGTTTGAGACCTAAGGATCTCCATGCAAGCTTCACTTGGTAAACATAAATTTGGCCCATGCCTCCATTTCTCCTGATGCAAAATGCTGGCAATGGTTGCCATCTCCAGGGTATCTTAGTAGATACTGACTTTATGGGTTCCCTGTAGCATCACTTTGGACTTCAGTGTTAAGCCTTGAGCTCCTACTGGGACCTCATCTACTGTGAGTTCTAGAAAAACATAATACAGGTTTGGGTTTGTTGTTGTTTTTTAAAACTAGACCATAAGAGCCAGAAATGAACCTATCCACTTTTCAAAAATCCCCCAATGTGAAGTACGTGCTGGGACATACTGGGGTGTGACAGGCGACTGCTAAGGTCCCTCGCTACATGCAGCAGCCAGGCGCAGTTTTACAGTAGGGGAAGCATAACTCTGGGTTGGTAACAAGTGCGGACTTCAGAAGACTCGGGGGAGAAAGCGGGGCAGACGCCGGCGCAGCCTCTCTGGTCATGAACCAGAAGGAAACACAGAGCCCAGCTTGAGCCCCAAACGGCAAGAAGACTGGAACCACAAGAGTCGCTAGTAAATGAAAGTGAAGACCACAGCCCCGGGGAGGCAGGGGGACCGGCCGGCATCTTGTGGCACACACATCAACCAGTTTGGACAAAACTTTCCTCCCAGAAGGCCGCTCTCTCAGCCCACCTGCCCCACCTCCTGGTACTGATCAAAAATGGAGTTGTGTATACATGCCCCTCCCCCACTGCCAAGGAGACTGCCCTGTCCCACCCCCTCCAAGAATGCCTTCTTCCTGCAGATTCTATACTCTGAAACTGCACAGTGCATCACGACCCCCAGAGTACTGCTGGGCCATACCGTCTGGTCCTTAGATTTCAGGGAGGGATGGCAAAACATGGCCTCTACGCAAACTTCCCAGGTTCCCTCAAGGGCCCACCAGGAGCTGAGTAAACCCACGAGGTTAAGGTTCTGTTTCATGGTCTTTCCTCCTAAGGACACGAGGGCCACACAAGGCCAGGCTTCCCAGGACCACCTCGGACAGGGCTGCACAGACCCCCCTTCACAGATTCCAGATGTTGCTACATCAGAGTCACTTCACTGTGCCAGCCACAAGGCATTTCTAGTTAACATGCCCGAGATCCCCAGTTCCCAGTCTCCACCCCTTGCTTCCTGCAGCAACACCATCTAAGCAGTTAAGGAACGGTGTGGCCGTCACCCCGAGTCCCCCACAGCCCCATTTCTCACACATCACCAAGTTCTGTGATCTGCTCTGAAGGGTTTGTCCCCTCCCTCTGTGCCCTCCGGCCCTCCCTCGTCTGCCTGGGTGACAGGCTTCTTGAGTTCCCCTGACATTTTCCACCCTGCACACAGCAGTCAGACTGTCACCTCACGGCCCATTCTGCCCCGGGGCAAAGCCCCTCGGCGGCTCTCAGCGCTTAGATCCGGGTCCCAGGCAGCACGCTCAGCCAGCTTCCCTGCCTCCCGTCACCACACACACAGCTTCTCTCCTTCGCTCTCAGCCCACTCCACTGCCCAGTTCAGCTTCTGCTTTCTTAGCGCCGGAAGGGCTCGCCTCCTAATTCCGGAAGCACTTACAAAGACTTGGCTCTTCCTACCTGACCACCTGGTCCCATATGAAACCCACAAAGCCCAGCCCACAATGAGCGCAAGCTGCAGATTCTTTCGCCTTGTGGCTCCCAGGAGAGGAGGACAAGGCTTGCCGTGGCCCAGGGCTACATCCCCAAGCCTAGCACACAGTAGGACCTTGGGAGATGGGGTGTGGGAGTGAACACCCGGGGCCAGCTTTGGCACCGCCCAAGAGGCAAACAGCTACAGGAAATTAATAACTTCCTAATATTTAACCCATTTTTTCAAAACCAAACAGTGGACTCCAGAGAGGCCTTCTCCCAGCCCCACGGGGTGGTGTATTCATTTCTGGTTACACAGCGGTTGTTTTCTGGCAAGAGCCAGCTCCCTTCACTGCAGAAAGCAATAAGGACACGACTCCCTGGGGTCCCCAAGCTGCCAAGCCGTCATCTGCTCCCGGCAGCCTGCAGTCACCTGTGGCCCTCCTGCCCGTAAAGCTCTCTCAGCTGTAGCTCAATGACTCCTAGGGGACAGGTAAACGAAGGGCGGGCAGCCAGTTGCTGTTTGCTAGACAAATGAGAAACTGGAACCTCCCCAAGGAGGACGTTCCATAGGTGAGAGATGAGACTGCTGTGCGGACTCCACAGCGCCCCCTGCAGGCTGTTTGAGAATAAGGCACAAGGCCCCCAAACCTCCAGGGCTCCCAGCTGCCCAGGCTCTCATTTGTCCCCCACTTGCTGCCAATGGTTCCCACGGCCTCTGAGTACCACGGGGTCTTCTGCAAGACCCCGACCGTGACCCTGGCCCTTCCAGAGGCCCTACCTGCCAAAGCTAGGTTGGGCCATCCTTTGAGAGCCAAAACGTGAGGCCCTGGATACCGAGGCCTCCCATCTCCTCACAGACTCGCCCTGTTCCTCTACTTCTTATTCTGTTCATAGTGGGCTGTCAAGTTGCCCTTTCTGGCTGCAAAGAGTCCCCTCGACCCCACCATCCGCACCTCTCATACAGCCCACACTCTCTGCCTCCCAAGCCCACCCCACCCCATCCCCCACCCCCTTCCTTACAGACCTCAGGGTAATGGTAGGAAACTTAGTGCTTCAGGTCTCAAAAATTTACAGTCGTGCTGGTCTGGAGATCAGAAGTCCAAAGTGGGGTTCACAGGGGTGGTCAACAGACCGGGGTGCTCCTGGAACCTCTTGGGGAGGATTCTTTCCAGCCTCTTCCAACTTAGGCAAGAACGCAGCTGCCCTTGGGGCAGGGCTCCAGCCTACTCATCTGCCGCCAGCACGCACCTGGATAGCTGGTCTCCAGGGAACTTCCTTTGCTGATATTGTCTTATGATCACACAGGGCACACCTGGGCAGCCTGGGTCCCCTCCCACACTCACCTGCAATCGCTAATCATACTTACTATCCCTTGATGTGGGAGGCGGCGGCGGCGGATCCACGGGTTTCAGGGACTATAGAGACATCTTTGTTTGGCTTCCAATATGGTCTCAGGTGACGTCCTAAATGCATGGGCACTAAACTCGGGCTGCCATCTTCTCCTTTTGGAGCTCCAACTCTTGACAGATCCAGTCACCACACAGCCTTGGGGCAGCTGACACTCTGACCCTCCGCTGTTCGTACCTCAGTGCTTCTCAGAACTTCTATCTCCCAGAAGAACCTGCATGCTGCGGGGCTGTCATGTGACCACGACTGCTTAAGTCTCCCAGTGCTCTGTCCCTGCTCTGGCAGGAAGCCAGAGGCGCATCGGCCTGTGAACTCCTGCCCAAGCTGCAAAACTACGGACCACTCCTCCTTGCCCTCTGCTCTGGAGTCTTCTAGAGGCTCTCACCCCGCCCCCAACCTCACTGGGCTCCGCCCTCTCCTGATCACCACACCTGTAATCTATAAGGGACAGACTAGAAGGTGCCAAAAACAGTCTGCCTGATGAGCTGTCTCTCCCCGACCACCACCCTGCCCTGGCCAGT